CCCCCCCCCCCCCCTTCAACCCACCCCCATTCTCTGCATGAACTCCAAATGCCAAGCAGGAGCCAACATGGACTGGACTGGTACCTAGTCACCTCAAATGCAGCCACCCCCAAAAAAGCCGTGTGTGTCTGTGCTCTGCCTAGTGAGTGATTTATGCTCACGATCGGTCTCGCACTTGCCATGGGGGGGTGGCCATGGGGGGGCGCTGTTTGGTCAAGATCCTTCCTCCCTGCTGCTGCTGCTGCTGCTGCAAAAAAAAGCAATCCCAATCCCTGTTATATTGGTATTGTCAACCATTAAAAACACTGTCCTTTTTATTTCCATATAGCGTGACAGGGCACATCAGACAAGAAAGTGGGGGGGGGGGGGGGGCACACGCCATCACACTTGTCACAAGAGCCGAGTGAGAGCAGATTTTTCTAAATTACCTGAGCGACCAGCCAGAACATTAGAAAATCAATGTACAGGCGTCTGCCATGGCTGGGGAGTTTGGCGCTTTGACTGGATGTCCAGAGACCCTTCAAAATGGGGGGGGGGGTCTCAAATTCCCACTCCTCACCTCTGGATAAAAACACTGAGGCCCTGGCTTACAGCAGATAACGAAAAAAATTAGGCACCTTTCTAAAATGGCATCCTGTTATTCAGCTGAACAGCAGGGGGCGTGGTGGTTATGAGTGCTGCCCCCCCGGCAATGGTTGCCCTTTGTAGGTAGAGCTGCACAAACTGCCTATTAAAGCACAGCAGACCAGGTCCAGCATCACTATGACCTTAAATGGACCAGGGTACTTCGAAAACGGAAAAATCCTGAGCTGTCCCCAGTGAGACACACGGGTGTTTTTCTACAGAAGCTTCTCTGTTGTGGGTCTCATTCCCCTGAGACTCTGCTGTGGAAGAGAATTATGTCAAATCCAGACTTCCTGCCCCTGGCTGTATCACACAGAATATTTCTCATATATCCAAGTGTCCTATGTCCTGAGGCAGATGTGCTGTGTTTATATAGCCCAAGATCTCCATTTCTTTAGCAGTAACGACACTGAACATGCAGTCCTTCACTCGGCATTTGGCAGGCAAAGATAATGTCCGGTATACTCCACTAGATGGCACTGTGCCACACATCTGAGAACACGTTTTTTTTTTTTTTGCTCCGGCAATCCGACTACCTCGGGTTTATGTCCCCAGCCTCCCCAGGCCATCTGCAAGTAAAAGCTTGCCCTTTGCCTGGGTGGATAATCCCGAAATGCTGGCCGCTGTCTTAGCCTCAGAAAAGTGGAACTGAGGTGAAGTTCTGAGCGAGCGTTTTGTAACCGTTTGACCAGCCACTGAACAGCACAGAGGGCGGCATCCAAACACAGTCCGACCTCATCCTGTGCCCCCTCCCCTCCCCCCCTGAGTTACGTCTTGTTGGCCCAAAAGTACATTTGTGGGTTTTCTTCTGATTTAGATAGTCTCCTAATTCTGTCCGTCCTCTCGTATCAAGACCAGACTCGACTCTGCTTTGAATACGGCCCATTATATTTGGTTTTTATTTAAATATAGGTTTTAACTGCTCCGCTCATGAACTGGTGATTGAAAGCAGTCTCCAGCGAGCCCCGACGCACCTCAGCTCAGCAATCTGCAGAAGAAGAAAAAAACATCAACAATCCCTCAGATTTTGCAAGAAACTGTTATTGCT